GATTGTGAGAAACATTTAGATATTATGTTGTGTGACAGCCGTTAAGAAGAGAGACGAAACAAAGATTGCATTATCCAAAGTGCCCAGAGTTACTAATCGAGGAACTTCTGAATCCAAATAAGGTTTTGACCTGATGTGAATGTACTGGCAAAATATTTGTACTATTGTGCCTCATCCTCAAAAGACAGTTCGTGGGGCTGTTGGCTTCTTCGGGGCGTTCTATTCGGTTCACAGTGAGCCCTTGTAGTGGATAACGGCACTGGACGAAAACAGCTCTAACCGAGGCCTACTAACGATCCACTGGTTCATATGTGCTTGCTTGTTCTATTTAGCTACGTGACCAATGTAGTCATACGGCTGAGACAGAGATGCTTGAAATACTTTGAAGAAATCAAGCTAAGAAGACCTAGAGGATGTAGCGCTTCTTTGGTAGCGTTACAAGGGCCCAATTTTTCCCGAGCTACTTTTTTGACAAGAAACACCTCCCTGACTATCAGTTTGAAGTGAAACTTTGCAAATATGCCTAGAACAGATAATGCCCGTGGTGCCTTCTAAACCTTAAAAGGTATTACTGGTGTCGTAAAGACTTCCGTATGTTGGTTTGTCCCCCTTTGGGATTCCAAATTTCAGCAACTTTCAGCATCTAGGAATTATTGGTATATTCCGCAGACTGCAAAATTTATTGGATCCATAACATTTCGGGAGCGCCCATCAGTTGCAGACACTCCAATGTGTTAAAGACTAACGAATAAGAAAAATACGAAATTGAATTAGTACAGAAAGGTCACAGGTCATAGTCACTAAGGCTAATTTGTAAAGTAAGAAGGTTAAAACAAGGTGGAAGGCGAAACAGAGGAAAATGAGTTACGGGAAAAAAGAGCAGGGGACTGTGTAAATCTGGGAGCCGGTTGTTACCAAGGCAAGGCTAGGTTAACCACATGCTCCAATGTTTTACATAGGTCCGGTTTAGAGCGTCTGATATAGACGATATGTTGACGATGTTTTCGCGATTGCTGAGAACCTGAAAGAGGCTGAGGAATTATTGTCCACAATGAAC